TTCTTCTTCTTCTTCTTCTTCTTCTTCTTCTTCTTCTTCTTCTTCTTCTTCTTTAGAAGAAACTGAACACTTTCCCCCATCTTTGGCCCGAAAGCTTTCTTGGCAATAGAGGAATTAATGTAAAGATAATTTAGTCCTAACCAGACCATACACACTTAAAGAGTTCCTGTCAACAACAACAACAACAACAACAACGACAAAAACAACAACTACAACAGCAAAAATTATCGCTCGCCAAAAGGTGAAGTACTCCAAACAAAATCTTGCCCAATGAGTACTCCAAACAATGAATACTCCAAACAATGAATACTCCAAACAATGAGTACGCCAAACAATGAGTACGCCAAACAATGAATACTCCAAACAAAAACTCGCCAATGAGTACCCCAAACAAAAACTCGCCAATGAGTACCCCAAACAAAAACTCGCCAATGAGTACCCCAAACAAAAGCCTGCCAACACCTACTCCCGCGCCATCACAAACAGAATGTGACACGTGAAACAAGCTAAGAGGCGATCAATAGTCATCGAAACACCGGAGAGCTAGGTGCTGCGTGATCCGATTGTCAACGAGTCCAATATTTACCTGTTTCCCGAGTCTAAGAGCCGTGAACTTCACACCCGAGAGGCCCCGGCAAATAGAAATGGCGTTGTTCTAAAGCTGTTTATACTTGACCAGTGTTTACACTTGACTATTTCATTGTTCTATTTCTAAACACAAAGGGATGTTTTTGGGTAGTTTTCTCGTCAAAATGATCTTTTTCTCTCTACCAACTTTTTCTTGCTTGTACCGTTGTACATTATTCCTGGAAGTTCAGATGGTTCCAGGGAACTACTGACTCGGATGGACAAATTGTAACCATAGGTAGGAGTAAGAGGTAGGGTGGTAAATGAGGAGATTCTAGGGTCGTGAAGTTGTTGTAGTTGATGTTGTTGTTGTTGTTGTTGTTGTTGTTGTTGTTGTTGTTGTTGCTGTTGTTGTTGTTGTTGTTGTTGTTGCTGTTGTTGTTGTTGTAGCTGTTGTTGTTGTTGTTGTTGTTGAAGTTGTTGATGTTGTAGTTGTTACTGTTGTTGCTGTACTGTTTTTGATATTGTTGTTGTTGATGCTTTTGTTGTTGTTA